TGGTTGTTGCAGCCATTTGGGGATGGAAGATCTCTCTCTCTCTCTCTCTCTCTCTCCCCCCCCCACCCCTTTCTATCTCTGTAACTCTGACTTTCAGAATCAATAAATAAATCTTTTTTAAAAAAAAATCCTAAATGCCCACAATAGCCAAAGCTGGGCTAGGCCAAACTCAAGAACCCAGGTTTCAATCCAGTTCTCCATATGGGTGGCAAGAACTCAGGTACTTGAACCATTTCCTGTATCCTCCCATTAGCATAAAGCTGTAACTGGAAGTGGAGTGGAGACTCGAATCCAGGCACTACAATAATGGTGGTGGGCATCCAAAGCAGCAGCTTAACTACTGTACCAAATGCCCACCTCTGTGAGACTTTGATGAAATTACACTTAGGAAAATGTTCTACAAACCAAGTATCAATGCCTGAATCCCAAATCTCCACCAACTTTCAACTGGGACTTGAACACAAAAATACCTAAAATAAAAATGGGGATGATAGGTCTCCTTACTTTCAATATTTTGCCTAATTCTCTACCACTTTAGCAAGTGGTGATTTAATTATTTCCCATAAAATAATGACAATCCTGCCCTCCAGGACATGGCTTTGAAGTCATTGATTAAAATGGAACACTTGATGAGAAAAAACTTGAATGTCACAGTCATTGTGGTCTGAATTCCTAGTACTGTTTTCATATATGACAGTACACTTGAAGACCCCAAATATACCTCAGTTGTTGCAGCAGAAATCAAAAGAAAAACTAGGTCATCATTTCACACCATGGCATTCGATTTTGAATTTCACATCTTGGGCTCTCATGGTTGCCTAATTTAAAGCCCATCTCTTTGCCAACACTTCTTTTGAACTCTGAGAGATGCATCCATCATGATATGAGATTGGATCTGTAGCTCGAGGTACTAGAATAATAATCAGAGGTGTATATATAAATTGAAAGACTCTGCATTTCTCCAAACCATTTCCTGTTGTAGGAATGCTAAAATAATGCTAATGCAAGAAAAGATATTCCAGTGTCATTTTAGATTTCAGACATTGCACATTTGTACCCATGATTATGTCAAAATATACACATAGGCATCATTTGCAAGAGAATTTATTATAAAAGAAAATGTGAAAAACCCAAAGCTAGCCTGACCTTCTTTTATTTATTTTTTTTTAAATCAGAGCTTGAACTGAGGTTGAATAAATTTGTCCAGCTTAACATAAAATTGTGTTGGTCTGAAAATAAAAAATAAACCTATTCATGTGGAGTGAAAAGAAAAGAAAATAAAAGAAACATAAAACATCTCCCTTCTGGCATAAAAAATGCAGTATTTTAAAAATAAAAGCAAAAGAAACCTACTTTTAAATAATATCATGTTTTATATAAAAAATAAAGACCTGAGAACCTCAGAAGCAAGGCAGTCCACATTTCATGCTGAGGATATCTACATGGGAGAAAGAAAGGAAAGGAAAAACTTGCGGTTATTTTGAGAGTTGGGTTTTTATTTTTGTTTTTCAGGTGGGGGGCATCAAATGCATCCAGACACAAGTGCAAAAACAAGATTTAACAAATGTTTATTCCATCAAGCTTTCATCCCTTTGTGAATCTTACTCACTTCTCTTGTACCAAGACTTGAGTGCCTAGAAAAAATAAAAATATCTTTTCTGATAGATCCATCAAAGCATTTATTTTAAACTGAGTAAAATTCAGTTGATTCAAGATTTGCTTTCAGGACCCAGAGGATCCATAGCCCTTCTACCAAGCTTTTGAAATGCAGTATTCTTCAGTGTTCCCACTTTGATTTCCTTCTCCCAACACTGAAAGAGAGACACACAAAATTCATTCTCCTTTGTGATTTTTTGTGACTGTTTGTTTGTCATCATTCATAGATTCTCTTTGGAGCACACTACTAGAAGTGTGGCAAAATCTACTTATATATGGAAGCTCAGATGTGGCTAGGATATAAGTTACAAAACCCCACTAATTTCAAGAACAGAATTCTGGTTATTTAATTCATCACCTTTCCTTAGGATGAACTTGGTGGAATATTGTGGTAAAGACAAGACACTCATAGTCTCCAAGACCTCACTTCTTTCTAAACAGCCCTCTAAAGCATCTATCTGAGACTTAAATGTTCCTTAAACAAAATAGAGTTGGAACTAAAGAGGACATCTCCAGCTAGTTTTATCTATGTCAGGCTCTTAAGCTCAGCTGGACCTAGTCTTCCTTTACAGGAGAAAACGAAGGAAGCAAGGGAGGCAGGGAGGCAGGGAAAGAAAGCAAGCCAGCCCAGATTACAATTTCCAAGTTTCAGCCTAGAATAATGTTTATTTATAAGTTCTAAATTCCAGAAAATAAGAGTTTAAAGGGGAAACATTAACAGACCTTAATTATGGCAAAGCAAAGGGCAATACTGCAGTGAAAAGAAACTACCCCTCAGATGAAGTGCTTAATCTTTGAATGAGATGTGCCCTAATATCTCAAAAGTGTCGTGGCATAATGACTCAGATTCTCCTTGTAGCAGGCTGTCGTATGCCCTTTATGAAATTCACTGTCACCTTCAACTCCTAGCTTATAACTAAACCTCACTTCACTCCACACCACGTAAACAAGAAAGATCTTAAAGAACCAAATTAGGACAGGTTGCTTTTTGGCAAATGCTACTTTCAGACATGCCTCTCAGAGAAGCAGAGGCATCAGGAAGGACCAAGAAAGACCAGCGGTCTGCTGCAGATAAAGCCCACAACAGAGTGAGAACACGGCCCACTGCTCACTCAATTGAAGGAGAATTTAAACTCTCCCTTAAAAACTATACTGCTGGGCTGGTGTTGTAGTGCAGTGGGCAAAGCCGCTGAAGCTGCCTCTGCAGTGCAGACATCCCATAAGGGCGCTGGTTCATGTCCTGGCTGCTCCACTTCTGATCCAGTTCCCTGCTAATGCTCTTGGGAAAGCAGCAAAGCATGGCCCAAGTGCTTGAGGCCCTGTACCTGCGTGGGAGACCCGGAGGAAACTTCTGGCTCCTGGCGTCAGCCTGGCCCAGCTCCAGCCAATTGTGGCCATTTAGGGGGTGAACAAGCAAATGGAAGACCTCTCTCTCTTTTTGTCTCTCTCTCTGTAACTCTGCCTTTCAAATAAAATAACTCTTAAAAAAAAAAAAAAGCTATACTGCCTTGAAAGCCAAATTTGTTATGTGAAACTCAACTTTTATTTACCCCACTTTTGCCTCGTTTGCCTCACACTACTCTGTAAATTTGAAGTGCTTTCTCTAAACACACTTACAACACTTGGAGAAATTTATAAAGCCCATCATTAGCTTTCTCTATGTATTATATAATTTCAAGTTCCTTAATATTTCTTAGTACAGAATTAGTGCATTTCCTAGACTTTCAGTTTTTGTTTGGTTTTGTTTTCCCCTGAAATCTTCTTGGCATTTCCACATTTTTCTTCCTGATTCAAATCGTCACTGAACCAAACATCTGACACAGTGCCTCACCATAGTAGATATTTAGCCACTGGTTTTAATACAAGAATAAACAAACATCAGGACTACACAGTGGATGCTCAGATATACGTTAAACAACGAATGAATTAAACAACCAGAGAAAGTCTTTTTTGTATTCCACATATCCATAGCCTCAGCTGCTGTTTTCTTGATTTAAATTTTACAGAAAATCTAACTAATTCGCTGTCTTTGTTGGCTTAAATGTAACACTAATACATGCATTCATGCCTCTGTCTGGCAGCAGGATTTTGACACAGAGAAAACACATCCTGTGCCCAACAACGCAATGTTTGCAGAAAGCATAGGAATTACCGCCAGTCTCGTTTTCCTCATAGGAAAGCCAAGGTGAGCAGATGGAAAGCCAAGCACTCACAGGTGGGTGTGGCAGCCACTTCCGTTCTCACTGCACTCCCAAACCCAGGACTCCGAATGTTTGCACCGAAAATCATGGCTGTTCAGTTACCAATGACATCAATTAACACTAAACACTAATTTAATAACCCCTTGAAAGGTAAGACATAATCCACCATGTATCAAATTCATACGAAAAGGAAATGGTAAGAATCCAGAAACAGAGTAATGTTAGAAACACCATACTGAACTAAGACTGGCCACTGATGGTTATTTCCTCATTCCCTGCCCGCCCCCACCACCACCAAGAAAAAGATTGAATTTGTGTTGTCTTGGAAAGGAAAACTTCCCCCTGAGCCCACAGTGATGGGGCCGTACAAGCACCAGCATTAACCAACTTGCTTAGACTGTCTCCAAAAAAAAAAAAAAACAAAAATTTGCCCCAGGCTCGTCCTAGAGACAGTGGTCCTCTGACTAGCATTTGAGGAAACAAGAATGTATCAAGGTCACCCTAACACAAAATGGGTGCAACTTGGAAATAAAAGAGGCCACATTCCATTCATCTCTCTCTGAATATCAGAGACTGAGTAAATGTGGAGGAAAAGCAGTAAGAGAGTAACCTTCAGTCAGTTGACTAGATTGCTATACACATCAACATGGCCTTTTACTCGACTTACCAGTTAGGAGCATTTGTTTCTACGTTCCTGTCTCTCACAGAGGATTTTGCCTGGATATACTTTTATGTGATATCTGTTAGGTTTTTATTTGCATACTTTTGAAGACAGTGAAAGAACGGATAGTGTGTTTTCAAATCCCAGCCAAGCTCTGACATTTAGAGGGAAGGAAAGAAAAAGGAAAGAAGGAGATAAGTGAAGGGAGAAAGATACAGAGGGAGGGAGGAGGTAAGTTTGGTTTAAAATATTTTTTAAATTTTCATAGAGAAAATATAAGTAGTCTTCTTGCTTGACTGTTTTACATGGTAAAATGTTTTTGAATGGAACAAACTAACAGATGTTTGAAATGTTCAAATACAGATCATGAAAAACAATCAGAGTTCCTATAATTACTATAAGCTAAAAGCCAGGATAAAAATGACTATATATTAACTAAGGTGATCAACTTTCCAAGTTAGAGAGATTAAAGACAGATACTAGGCCAGTGCCGCGGCTCACTAGGCTAATCCTCCACCTTGCGGCGCCGGCACACCAGGTTCTAGTCCCGGTCGGGGCGCCGGATTCTGTCCCGGTTGCCCCTCTTCCAGGCCAGCGCTCTGCTGTGGTCAGGGAGTGCAGTGGAGGATGGCCCAGGTGCTTGGGCCCTGCACCCCATGGGAGACCAGGAAAAGCACCTGGCTCCTGGCTCCTGCCATCGGATCAGCGTGGTGCGCCGGCCGCAGCGCGCCAGCCGCGGCAGCCATTGGAGGGTGAACCAACGGCAAAGGAAGACCTTTCTCTCTGCCTCTCTCTTTCACTGTCCACTCTGCCTGTCGGAACAACAACAACAAAAAAAGACAGATACTAAAGCAAATATACACACACACACACACACATCCATCCGTGTTTATGTGTGAAACAATTACAACAGGTGTATATCAAACAAGCCTTGTACAAAAATACTGGATTCATCTCGTAACGAAAATTCCAAAATTTGTGGCATTGTTATGAAATTTAAGACCACATGTGAAAAATATAATGTGCTATAATACCTCATGTTGAGGTAGAGCATTACATCTTTCTCTTTTGATCTAATATATACTTGCATTGTGTCCATAGATAAGAATAGGGGATTTGTGATAGATTATCCTGATGATTATGACTTTTTACCTTTTTTGGGAATGAATGTCGATCTTCTGTGGATAATAGCTACTTTCACAAATAATATTATTCAGGAGCAATTATGTAGTTTAATTTAAAGCATGCATAGTACTAGGAACCACTGCTTTAAATAAAAGTGAAGGGTTGGCCACACTACCTGACTTGATTATAGCAATGCTAGAATCCTCAGGATCAAACGTGAAATCTGAGTTGGGAATAGATAACATCATGTTCAGAAGCTTGAACTTGGATGACACTGTGCAGCTCAGCCACCTGCCAGTCATGCTTCCTAACACCCTTGTTCAAACTTGCTTGAAAGAATCTCTTATGCTTTAATCCCCACAACCCTGAAAAATAATCTGTGCCACAGGCATTAGGGCTGTAAACTTCTTTTAACTTTCCATTAAATAGCAGAAACCTTAGTCTGATTCTGGCAGCTGACCTAGGTAAAGATTTTAATGTCCATCTGATGCACACACATTTTTGTGTTCCATGGCTGGTGCTTGCTCACTGTTGGTAAATGCCAAATGCATCTGGGAAAAGAGTTTTGAAAACAGTTCGACAGTCTGAAAAGTTCCAACAATAAAACAGAACTCTTTACATTGCAAAGCCAAACAAATAACTCGGGCAAATGTAATTGAATAAATCCCCGGCTTCAGTGCAGATGGCTGTTTTTACTGTCTGTCTATGCTGGGATCTGCTGAAGTTTCTTCAGTTCCTGTGTGTGTGTGCGTGTGTGTGCGTGTGTGTGTGTATGTGTGTGTAGGGCTTTTTTATATGAAATTTGGCATATTGCATGTGGCAGGCTGTTGAAAAATGAATAAAGACAGGAGGAAAAAGGCAATGTACATCCCATTGGTAATGACAGAAAGCCGGGTTGCTGACTGCCCATGTGCCAGTTCTCCTGGTTTGCCTAGGGGCTCCCAAGATCATTTCTTTGCCCCCAGATTTTCATGTTGAATTATCACTCACAAACTCTAAATGAACATGCCTCTTATTTTATTTAAGACACACCGGGCACTTGTATTTGACTTCCTGCTAGGCAATACAATATTTAGTGTTTGCTGCATACACAAATGGCAAGAGATGAAAAATGGCCTTCTAAGCATAATTTCCATTTTTTTTCTTATTTTTTCAAAGAGATATCTTTGCTCCAAGCTTTCAAGAGGCAGACATCAAGTACAAAGCATTTGCTCTGTGCTGGTTTTGCCTGAGAAACTCTGACCACAGAAGTCTATGAGGATTCATCAGGAGCTTCAGGCGATGGCCTCATGCCTTTGGCCTGAGGCAGAGCTGGGGGCTAAGCACTTTTCATGTGGGGGGTAAGGAATAAAGCGGGAACTCACCTCACCTGGACTCTCAGTTGCTCTGACTGCCACCCAGAAGCCTCTTCCTCCGAGATGTGTCTTCAGGGCTCCTGTTACAACAAAACAAACAGCATCATAGCTTACTTGTGACCTACTTAGGAAACATTCAGATTTAACCATCTACAATGGGCCCAAAGAACACAGGCAGAGGACAACAGAAATGCTTCTTCTCCATACAATGGCCAAAAGGAATACAGGTTGTGATGAAGAAAAATATTTCTTACTATAAATGTAAAAGTCATAGTTGGCTCAAATGATCACATATAATTTTTTTCTCTTAAAAGATTTGGGTCATGTGCTTTACATGATATAGTAATCATTTTTAAACAGATCTTCATATCTAGGTACAAAGTTCTGCATGTTTCTATTATTCTTTAGTTCCAACAAGAACTGCTAAAAGGATTTTTCTAGGCTGCTTATTTGTTAAGTGCTCGTTAACTCATCTGACTCAAGCATGCTCTTGTCAGAATCTAGGTTTATCAATAACTAATGATGTTTTAAACTTCTGATCTTCAGCAGCAATGTTTTTGGTTTCTTTTAAGGCCCAGTTATGACTCTTACCACCTGCAAAATAGAGGGAGTGGACGTCTGACTAATTTCCAGAAAATGCCATGACCTGCTGAAGTAGTGAGATTCCCAGAACCTTTTTGTCTTTCTGTGTTTCTATGGCTCTATGGCTCTCCTTGGTCCTTGCTCCTAAGAGAGCAGAAGCTTTAATAACAACGGTGTAAGAGAAGGAAAGCATTTAACACAATAAGCTCTCAACCAGATACTTTCAATGTAATTATGTGCTCCATTGCAAAGTCCACTTTTTTAGAACAAAAAAACAAACAAATTCCTAGAAAGCAGTGAATGAGAAAGGGTGTATTGCCACACAACTATACTCAGCTGAAGAAAATGGTAAGAATTAGCTAGGAAGCCAGCATTCGGCAACCCTGAATCTGAATCTAAAAACACAACTGTGGTATTCCATAAAACTTTAGGGTTAAAAATGTTTTTTTTTTCTAGTAGGGAAATTTCGGGTTGTCTGGGAAATTATGTCAAGTGCTACTAGGTTTGTGGTAAATTAGTTACATAAACCTTAAACAGTCCAGGGCTCTAAAACAGCCATCTCCATCAATAAGGGAGTACACACAAAATCAAAAGGGTCAAAGTACCGGCACAATTACAGCCTGTTAACTAGACAGCTGTACTGAAAAGCTGCCCTACCACAAATGCAACTAACATGGAGCGATTAACATGGTTAATATTTGGATTTCAGTTCTGTAGCTCTAAATGCCACAACCAGGTCTGGCTCACTTTCAGAATTTGCACAGATATTGAACCCAGACAATTAGGTCATTTTTCCCATGAGCATTCTAAGTGTTAAAAATAGTACAGTGGGGATGCAAACCATGGAATGAGAGAGCCACTTACATGTATAACTAAAATGATTATTAACATCTGTTATGGGAAATCATCTTTTCTCAAAATGCAAACCTTGAAATATTATTGTGAAATGGGGTTGGAAGTCAAGGGAGCTGCATTTAAGATCCTCTGATCATTGTGTGTCATTTTCCCCAAAATTTAAGTGTAAAAATTTCCAAAATACAGAAAGTTAAAAGAATTGTGTAATATACAATTAATAATTTGTTATTTTAATGTATTACATATTTCTCCATTACTCTCCTTGCCTTGTATTTATCAATTTCTTACATTTTTATAAAATTCAAAGTTTATTGCAGACATGTCACCCCTAAACACTTCAACATCCATATAATTAACTAAAATTTTATACTGTTTGACTGTCTCATTTTCCTGGGTAAAATTTATATACTGTGAGTTGTGCAAATCCCAGTGTGTCATTCAATGAATTTCGAAATTTTATAACCTGTATAACCCAAACCCCTATCAAGATAAAGGAAATTGACATCATTCTAGAAAATCCCCAGTAACTACCTTCTGCCATCACCTCCAGAGGCAATTATTGTGCTGATTGTTTTTACTACACATTTGTTTTACATGTTCTAATCTAAAAATTCATATAAGTGAATTACTAAGATTGTGCTCTTTGCACAAAGAGAAGTATTAAAACAGCAATTTCTCTGGAATAGTCCATATTTCCCTTTAATTCTGTAAATTTTTGCATTTTGAATCTATTATCGGACATACATGCAGTTCTAATTAATATGCCTTCCTATGAGTTGAACTTTCAATGTTATGAAATGTTTTTCCTTGTTTCTGGTGTGATAGCTTTTGATCTGTCTACTTAATTAGCCAAAATCACAATCATAAGAATACCCTTTCCAATAGATTTCCAATAACAGAGGGTTAGAATGATATTTTCTGGCTACATATAGAGAACAGAAGAAAGACAGTAGACATTGTATAACATATACACACCTTCACCCACTTATTTCATTAAACACTAAGTGCATGCTGGTGTAAAATGATTTTGCAGCAGACTTAAAAAAATACAACGTATTTGGGGGGTAGGAAAAGAGAGACAGGGAGAGAGAAGTGCCATCCACTCATTCAGTCCCCAAGTGCCTACAATGGCCAGAGCTGGGCCAGGATCAGAGCCATGAATGGGAAGCTCAATCTAGGTCTCCCATGCAGAAGAGGAATCCAATTACTTGAGCTGTCACTTCTGACACACATAGTCTGTACTGGTGAGAGCCAGAAGCAGAAATTGAACCCAGACACTTGGATTTGGTAAACAGACATCTTAGATGATAGGCTGCGTGCCTGCGTCTGCAGATGGTTTTAAAGTTACCATTCAGTTGATTCTAAGTTAATTAAAATGGAAGGGATGCCAGATGGGCATAATTTAATCTGTTGGAAGGACTTTAAAAGACAGGCTGGGTCTTCCTGGAGAGAGAGAAATTTCAAACAGCACTGGGTCGGCAGTTGTTCTGCCTTCCCTACGTATCTTTCCTCCCAGGTTAGCTGTGGACAGGCTTCACATCACGTGGGTAGGATTTCAGCTTGCTTGTGGCTATCCCTTCCTGTCTTCCAAATACGTGTTGTATATGACTAATCTGTCCCCATACAAAAGTAAACCGGCTCCTAGCAATAAATATAAAGGTTTAAACAAACATACATCTTAATTAGCAAACTTTTTTCTTGAATTCTATTTTAGCATTTTTCACCCATCAGTCACTCAAAAACTCCTCTCTTACAGATAACATATGGTCTCTGCTTTTTATTTGAAATATCTAGTTCATTCATATGAACCTTTTCACTCTTAATTTTGTTCCATATTTTTATTGTCCCTTTGCTTATGTTTTCTACATTTGAATTCCACTAAAAGCACGTTTTCCTTTTCATTCTTGAGCACAGTTATAATCACTACTTCAAAACTTTGCTTGCTAATGAACACCCACGTGGTCTGCAGCATTCTCCATGGTTTGTTCTCTTGATAATAAATCATGTTTCCTGCTCTTTTATACATACAGCACTTTGGAATTTTGAATGATATCTTGTGGACATTCCTCCAAAATGTTGAATATTTTGTTTGCTTGTTTTAGCAGGCAACTAACTCACCTCAGCTCAAGTCTAAATCCCTGCACTAGGAAGCAACCAGTATCTCTTTTGTTATACTACACTTAGTTGGGTGGCTTGGAGTCTGCCCCAGGCTTACAAAGTTTAGGGGATCAGCCAGAAATTTTGCCAAAGTTTATGGAGAGATACTAGTGCTACATCCCTCTGGTTCCTTCATTTTCAAGCTTACTTCCCTCTCTTCCCAGATACTATCTTAGCTCTGGACTGTGTCTCCTGGTTGTTTAAGCTACTAAAGCTACAGATTTCTGAGTTTTAGGCAGTATGCTCACTTTTATGTTTGGAGACATCCATCCAGCAAAAAGCAGTAAAATGGGAAATATCCAGTGCTATTTCCTTCTTCCAGGTGTCCACTCCCCTTTGATTTCAGCCTACGTGTGGTTGTTCTCTATTACTCCTGAATAGTTGTTGTTTTTACAACTTACTCAGAGTTAACGTTACTCTCTGCAGGATAGTTGATCTGATAGGAGCTATTCTGCCATTATCAGAGTCTTTGTATATATATAATATATGTATATACATATAAAATCTCTGAAATTTTACTAAGCAAGCACAAAAATAGCTTGAATCTAGTGAACAGAGAGAATTACCCATTTCCCACCATTCCTCCAGGATAGAAGTAATCATAATGTGGCAAACTGTAACTACTCCAATGTATTCATTTTGAGTAGAGATTTCAGAAGCAAATTTCACCTCTGTCAAAAACTGTGCGACTCTTCTCTAAGGCTCAGTTTTGTAAAATATTTAACCTATTTCTAAATTCCCTGAGAAATTCTAAGCATTTTCCGGACACACTGTATCAGTTGAGCCCATCTGCCCTCCAGAACTGCTCTCGGCCCTTCTACACCCCATGCTGTGTATCAAGGTGGCCTGCGGCCGTGGCGCTCTCTTGCTGTGCAACTTCCAGTTGAGTTTCCCCAGTGAGAGGCAGACTGGACGTGAGATGGTGAGAAGAGACAGAGCTTGCAGAATTTACTTCCTCTGCTGTTTCTTCTGGGCTGCAATTTGACAGAGATGCTTTCCTTTTCTGAAAGCCCTGGCTCTTCTTTATTTTTTTTTAAGATTTATTTATTTGAAAGGCAGAGCTACAGAAAGGCAGAGGCAGAGAGAGTGAGAGAGGTCTTCCATCTGCTGGTTCACTCCCCAGAGGGCCACCATGGCCAGAGCTGTGCCAATCCGAAGCCAGGAGCTTCTTGCAGGTCCCCGACCTGGGTGCAAGGGCCCAAGGACTTGGGCCATCTTCTATTGCTTTCCCAGGCCAAAGTGGAGAGGTGGATTGGAAGTGGAGCAGCTGGGACTTGAACCAGCACCCATATGGGATGCCAGCACTGCAGGTTGTGGCTTTACCCACTATACCACAGTGCTGGCCCCAGCCTGGCTCTTTTTTTTGTCATTCATCTTTCATAGATACAGTTACCGTCATTTATTTTGGATAGAGGCAGTCCTTCAGTTCTTGCCCCTTCCTGCCACAAGGGAATAATAATTCATTGCTGTTGTTAAAGTAGGGTAT